AAGGCCATAATGCATATTATTTTTGAAATAAATGCATTGTTAATTAATGGCATAGTTTCCAGAGATTCAGGGGTGAAATCTTAGTTATAGATTATGTGCTCCATGCCTGAATAGTCACATGTGTGACCTCAATTCAGCAGCGTGCTGCCGAGTAGACTCCATGATTAAACACTGTCATTATAACAAATCGAATAGAAACTGCAATCCTTGAATTGCTTCATAAGCAGGGGATAGGAAGGAGATTGTTCTGATCTTGCTGCTAATATACACTGCACCAAGTTTCTAAGGGTTGTGTCTTAATTAAATTGTCATGAGGAGTGGTAAAAAAGTAGATATGGTAAAGAGTGAGGTGAACACACTGCAGGACATTTTTGTGTCACCCATCTTGAAGTTTCCTGCCCACTGAATGATATCTGTGATCCAGAGGCAGGGCCAACTTTCCAGTGCTTCTCTTTTCTCTGTGTCCATTTGTTATTCATGTTAAAAATTATAATGTGGAACAGAAGGAAAGTGGAGTTATGCCTGCTTAGAGCAGTCACTTCCTGCTTAATGTATACATTTGAACTGTTTTTTTTTTCTTATCCCCATATGAAAAATGGAGGTCACTGTATAGATCTCACTGTGCTGATGAAAACACAATTACTTAGCTTCTGCTCACAAGCAAAATGCTGTGGAGAGGCTGTCACAGCATGTCCTGTTTATAATTGTTGAGGCTGGAGGATAATAACAGCGTTTCTCCTTTATGGCATGACGAAGGAGTATATGCTGCAGGTTAATCTACCGTTACGGGTAATGGAGAAGCACTCCTTAGTCATTCTCTGCTAATTAAACACTTGCAACTCAAAGTGTGGTCCATGGGCCAGCATCATTGGCATCCCCTGGGAGACTATCAGAAATGCAGAATCGCAGAGCCCACCCCACACCTACTGAATCAGCATCTGCAGTTTAACAGTAGCTCAGCGGATGTGTGTGCATGTTAGAGCTTGGGAAGTACTGCCCTGCAAGATCTTTAAAGGCTTGCCAGCAAAATTTCCCAAACCATATTATTCAAAATAACCTTATGGGGCCGGCCCGGTGGCACACTGCTACAGTGCGCCACTTGCGAAGCGCGGTAGCACTCCCACCGAGGGTTCGGATCCCACATACAGACCGGCGGCTCACTGGCTGAGCGAGGTGCGGGAGCAACACCGAGGGGACACTGAGGGTTGCAATCCATTGCCGGACACGAAAAAAGACAAAAAGGGAAAAAAAAAAATTTTGGTTGAACACTGAGGGTTGCAATCCGTTGCCGGTCACGAAAAAAGACAAAAAGGGAAAAAAAAAATTTTGTTTGAAATTTTTGGGCCGGCCCGGTGGCACACTGCTACAGTGCGCCGCTTGGGAGTGCGGTGGCGCTC